TGAAAGACTTAAGATCCCTGATCAAGGCAATGACCAATCACAATTCCAGATGATGCTAACTATCTATCTTCTGATAGAGGTGATGTGCTCAAGATGAAGACTGAGACATATACATTTTGGAAATGGCCAATGTGAGAACTTGTTTTGTTTGGCTATGCAAATTTGTTATAAGGGTTTTCTTCTCTTTCCTTTTCTTTCCAAAGGAAGCAAGGAGAGAAAAAAGATTTTTGTTCACTGAAAAAATTTAGAGGGTGGAGCCAAGATGACAGCAAAAAGGCAGAGACTCACCTGAGCTCTCCCAAATTCTCCTCTAAACAACTTTAAATGATGCGTCAAAACAAATTTTGGAGCAGCAGACCCTACAAAAGGACAAGGTGAAACAATTTTCCAGCCCATGACAACTTAGAAGGTTGCAATAAAGTTCCATCCACAGGGTGAGAGTAAAGCACACTCCAGCACAGGCTTTGCCCTAGCAAACCAGCAGCAGGCCTAAGAGGTGACTGAATCAGTGGTTGCAGTGGCTGCTTCCAGAGCTCTTGTTTCTAGTAAGGTTTGGTAAGGTCAAAAACTTTTTAAAAGGAGATTACAGGAGTCCCTTTGCTGTCACTGGGTGCAGAACTCTGTTACATTACACATACCCAGATCCAGATTCAGGTCATAGTCCCAGGGTGAAGAGGAGCACTAGCACACCAGAATTTGTGGCCACAGGAAAGCGCAGACCCTGGTCACAATTCACAGGCTAAAAAGAATGCTTGTAATTGCTCATAGACCAGAGCAAAAGCCAAGAGAGTAGTTAACACACCTCTCCTTAGATCATGCCACCTTGGAAGAACCAAAAGCTTACAAACCTCTAGAACTAGTTCTGAAAACAGGTGCACAAACAACTTGAAGCTTGGGATGATGCCACCTCCTCCCCAGGAACAGAGTCCAACTTCAATATAAAGCTAAAAGTCAACAAACAGGCTGGAAAAATGAGCAAACAACAAAAAAAGATCCTGACCACAGAAAGTTATTATGGTGACAGGGAAGATCAAAACACAAACTCAGAAGAAGACAAGAAAGTAAAAAACTACTAAATCCAAAGCCTCAAATACAAATGTGAATTGGTCTCCGGCCCAAAAACAATTCCTGGAAGAGCTCAAAAAGGATTTTAAAAATCAAGTAAGAGACACAGATGAAAAATTGGGAAAAGAAATGATGATGATGAAAGAAATCATTAAAAAAAAGTCAACAGCTTGATAAAAGAAACATAAAAATACTGAAGAAAATAACACCTTAAAAAAACAGAACAGGCCAAATGGTAAAAAGAGAGATACTCTTGTTCAGCTCATTGTTATTAAAAAAAATCCTGCAGAAGTTTCTGGATCTTGAGGTTGCTAATGGAACCATGAACCAAGACAATATCAAGGATCTGTGACCTGTCTATTTTGGCATCCCTTAAGGCTTTTTTTCGTGGCATCCAGTGTTCCACAGAAGAGGTCAGCATTCAGTTTTTCAAAATAGGCATGGATGACAGAGGTACAGAAGTTGAGACTTTCACAGTGGGAATCAATCTCAGTCCTGGTTTGGGTACTGGAAGACAGGGTGCACTAAGTATAAGCATTGTACAGTTGGCAGACAGCCCTCTTATTCTCACAGATGTGCTTGTGCCTGAACCAAGCAATGAAATAATTGTGAAAATGGTTATCAAAGTCCTGTCCACCTAAGTGGGTGTCCCAAGCTGTGGACTTGACTTCAATTACCTCCAAGGTCAAAGACCAACATATTTATCTTGGCACCAACCTTTTTGTCCAAGCCACAGCAACAGCAGCAGCAACTGGCTCATTGATGATCTGAAGCAAAATGAGACCAACAATATTTCCAGCACCTTTGGTGGCCTGGTGTTAGGAAGTCACCGAAGTGGGTGCTACCAAGATCAAAGCATTTATAACATTCTTTCCAAGGTAAAACTTGGCAATTTCTTTTACCTTGGCACAGAAGACACTTCTGGATAGAAGTTTTTAGTTTCCCCTTTATGCTCTATGTGGGCCTGCCTGCCCATGAAAGGACAATGCTTCACATCTGACTACACAAGTGCATCAATAAATCTGCAATCAATTAAATTCCTGCATGAAAAACTGCAACGGTGGGGTTCACTGCAACTTGATTCTTTGAGGCATCACTTATTAAATGTTTTTGCTGGCGAAGGCAACATAGTTTGAGGTGGCCCTATTTCCTTGGTTGTTAGCTTTTCCACGCTGGAAGACTCCCATACAGGAATAAATGGTAGCAAGATCAATGCTAACTGTGGGTCCTTTTAACATGGTTACTGGGGCATGAGGGTCATTTCTAAGAGATGAGAAATAACAAGAGCTACTACTGAACAGAGTTGCAGTTGTTTATCTTTTATTTTCAAAAAGGACCAGTGACATCACGGGCTGATGTCTTGACTTGTGTGTGAACTGGATCTAAGTGAGGCAGAGTTGCTCAAAGTTGTCAGCCTCACTCTCTCTTCTGGAGTCAAAGTCCACTAGCAGTACAAAAGTCAAGATGACTGGCATGGCTTCGGATGCAGTGGATGACTTTGGTATCTTTGATGTCTCCCCAAGCTCTAGGCGCTCCACTGCACCTGTTTCACGGGCCTTCATGGCCACTGGAACAAACTGCTTTCATTTGCCTGTTCCACTGGGGGGACGTCTTCATATGCTTGGGGTAGACACTCCCCCAACTCACTAATGGGTTGGAGGCCTGTCAGTTACCCTCAACCTGGTTTAATTTATCTGTTGAGACAGTTTTACCACAGTGTAATCGCTTCACATGCTACAGCTTCTTGGAGCCACAGGTGAGACTTGAGAGAGGTAAGAGTGCTAAGCAAGACCCTGCAATATCCTCTTAATTGGTCTCCCTACTTCAAGTCTCTCCCTTCTCCAATTTACTCTCCATCCAGTTGCCAAAGTGATTTTCCTTTAAGTACGTATCTGTCCAACTCACTACTCGATAAGTTCTCATGGCTTCCTACTGCTTCTAGGCTAAAGTGTTGGCTTCTCTATTTGGCATTCAAAGTCCTTCACAACCCGATCCCAACATAACTTTCAGTCTTACTGCACATTATTCCCTTTCACAAGCTCTATGGTACGGCCAAACTGATGTTCTTTGTGTTTCTAACATGTGACACTCCACCTCCCACCACTGTGCTTTTGTCCTGGCTGTCCCCCATGCCTGAAATGCACTCCCTCCTCATCTCCACCTCCTAAAATCCCTTGTTCCCTTCAAGGCTCAGCTCAAGCATCAAAGTTTACACGAAGCCTTTCTTGATCCCCCTGCTGCTCGCATCATGCTCCACAAACTGCCTCTTCTCTCCATGAAAATAAAAGACAATTTGGTCCATTTGTTTATCATCACAGTCTTACTTTGAGACCCTTGGACCCACCATTTTGATTTTCAACATCTAAAGTGTATACTATTCAATTACATCATCCTTTCCAAATCCTTGTCACCACTGTCAGGATCCCCACGCCAAGATAACCCCTTTCTTTTTACTATTAGGAGATACCTTGTTTCCAGAGCTAAGTCCCAGCAAGCAAGCTGTGTCCTGAGCTTGGCATAACAACAATCCTTTGTGCTCACCCTTTGGGTGATCGAGCCACAGCAAAATCCCAGAATTGTTTCTCATCAGCACCAGGTGGTCCCTGAGTTAGGACAAGCACCTATAATACCCGTGTTCCAGTCATGAAGTCCTGCTATGAATCAAACGTCTCCTTGCTGCTGTTACCCCTCCATAGTCAGGGCTACAGTTCACTGCATAGCCAGACTTCAATTCAATTACTTATACGTGGGTATAAGTGCTGAGATTTGCCCACACTAAAGTGGATCTCCTAATAGATGGGGGCCCTTGCACATGTGTCTAGTTTCCCTCCTCCAATGAAATAAAGAAAGCTTTTTGCTTATAACCACTGTTAGCTCTTTGGTTTTACTTTGTTTTATTTTATTGTTAGAGTTAACTATGGTTTTGATCACCCATGTGAGTTCTCTGGCTTTGTTTATTTTTTTTAGAGTTACAGCAGTTGCAGAGCTGCTTGGCTCTTTGGTCATTTGTTATCAGGGTTGACAACATCATCTAACTCAGTCCAGGACCCATTTCTACCTTTTCTTCTCCATACTTATTATAATTCTTGCTGACTTCAACATCCAAAATGATGACCCATATGACACCACCCTGTTTTTTATCATCTGTGACTCCACTGACTTTCACTTCCACTTCACCTCAGCTCTGATCTTTTTCTAAGAGGTTATATTTAATGTTTCCCTTTCTGACTACAGCTTCTTTATCTGTCACTTTTCTGACCCTCCAGTTTACCCTTACCATGATCTGCAATCACAGACCCTCCTGCCCAATTCACTGAGTTCATCAAACTTCCTTCAGGGGAAACTCTCCCCATTAGCTATGTAAACATTGTCCTCACTCATATCCTACTTGCTATTGCTAACCTATTGCTAACCCCTTTGACATTTCACTATGCAAATGATGATCTTCCGGGTCTCTTTCCAGCTCTAAAAATTCTATGATCTGTAAATTTTTCTAAACACCTTCACTAACTTATCAGATCCAGACAGATTAGTCACACCACTCAGGTGCTGGGGGGGCTGAGACGAAAGGATTTTGTGTGCCATCTGGTGGTCAATAAGCAACTGTTCTAGAACTGAGAAATGCCAACAAGTAAAATGACTAACGTGATTTCTGGACCTACTAATCTTAGAACACGGGTTGAAAACCGAATTGGCTATTTAAAAATCACAATCAACATGTCGATATGCTAAGTGTCAAATGAGTTGTAGTCTATTCTATTTTTGGACTTTTAGTTAGTTGTGAGAAACTTTTTCAAGCTACAATCTGTTAGGTCATATTTCCCACAGCACCTAACACAATATTATGAATGAAAGAGTAACTCAAGTACTTGAATATTTGGTGATGATGCTAAAAAGACAATCAAACTGTGCAGCTATTTACACAGCACACTTACCACAAAAGGTGTAGGAACATATCTTGAAAACAAATATACAGGCACTCCTTTGGACAGCAAAACTGCAGCAGTTAATTTTGCAAGTCTGCAAAGAAAATACTGCATTTAGTCTCATATTTTGCTATTCTCTTCAGAGACTTAACTTTTGAAAAATATACATGTTACTTTGCATTAAAATGTGCAAGGTAATACACAGTATCAAGGAGCCAATTTTCAAAAATCAATAGCTGATTATCTAGGCCCCAAAATCCAGTTTAACTTTCATATTAAAAAAAAAAATTCAACACTGCTAAACTAGTAGGAGAACAGACTCTTTTCTTTCAGCTAATGATTCTAAAAGTCAATGAAGTATCCAAAGGACAAGAAAAACCAAGAAGGCAAAACAAAAGATGTAGATAATCCAAAATCTATATAATTTGCCTCTTAAAAATTAAGATTTCACAGCAGACCACAAAAAGATTAATCTAGGGGCAGCGAGGTGATGCAACGGACTCCAGCTCTGGAGTCAGGAGGACCTGAATTCAAATCCGGCCTCAGACACATAACACTCACTAGCTGTGTGACTTTAGGCAAGTCACTTAACCCCAACTGCCTCATCAAAAAAAAAAAAGCAATAATAATAACTAAAATAAAATAAAAAAAAGATTAATCTATGTACAAGTTTTCCATTAACACACTACAGCAAAGTTAAATAGGGTAAAATGTAGAACTGGCTATTTTCTCCAGCTCTGACACCCTTAATCTAAAGTTAAAATGAGAACAATACAATGTAAAGTATAAAATAACAAAAATTTTTACTTTTAATAAACTTATTCCAGTTACAAAAGGTAGTTTCTTATATTTGCTCTGGAATTCTTGACTCTTACAAATACAGTTCAGCAACTCATGATCATATTTTTAATAATCTCATGTTTCAGGGATCCTACTTAAAATCATTCATGCAACTGGATAAATGTTACATTGTTTTCCATTTTAATCCAGTTCAATATCTATATTTTTCGAAGTATGTATGGTGTACCTTTGACTGCTGCAGCTGCTGGTCACCTGACCCCTGGTGTCATAGCCGACCACAAAGCCTCTCTGCTTTAAGTCTGAAAAACATCTCTCAAGGTATTTGTACATCCCCTAGAGCAGATAAAGCATTAAAAGGTAAGCTCATAGCTAATGCCTTCACTTCACAGACTTCAATTCAATTACTAGTGTGTCTGGTTTCTGATTTGTGTGTTCCCAGGAAACCAGCTTCCCTTTTTAACTTCAGTACCCCTAAAGAGGCTATTTATTTGATATACAGAGGCAAGGTGATGATTCACTTAATACTTTTAGCTTTCCACACACATAAAGGAAAAAAACAAATGTTAAGAAAGCATCTAACAAAATACATAAAATTTCTTCATAAAAGAACAGATCCAATTTATAGCCTATAAATTTAAAACCTCACAAAATAGGAAAATAGTCAGGGGTTAAAAAAAAAGTATAAATGTAATTAAAAACTAAAGTAATTCACAGCAAAAATTAAAACCACTTAATTAGTTCCCAACTTCTACCCTTCCATAAGGGAAAACTTTCCCCATTTATTCCCTTCTCTACTTACAGAGGGTCAAAATGTTCAAAACTGGACATTCCCTGCAAATCTTTCTAACAATCTTCCTATTTCCAATGATACCACCACTTTTCTGGTCACCTGAGTTAAAAGGAGAGTCATCCCCTTTTTTTAAATCCCTCTACGTATACTGGTCTGTTCTCTATCAATTCTTCCTTTAAGATATGTTTCTGGCATCTATCATTTCCTCTACATCTCTATTGCCATCAACTTAGGCTGACATTATTGCAACAACCAAACTGTTTCCCAACTCTGTCAGATCAGCCTTCCTAAAACTGCATCTGCTGCTTCCCTACTTAAAACATTCAGTGGCTTACTAGTGCCTGAAAGACCCAGTGCATACTCAGCATCCAAGCATTCAAGTCTTAGTTATAGGACTCTGCCCAACTTCAATGCTCCTTAACAACATCCACAGCAACAATTAGGTTGCCTATGCTCCACCTAGTCTGGCTTCCTAACAATCCCCCCAAATCTTCCTCAGCTTCAAGGGCCCTTCCTGTACACCCAAATTTTACTCTGTCTTCAAGGTCCAACTCAAGTTCTGTCTCTTCTATGAAGCCTTCCTAATAAACTCCCCTTAGTCATTGTTCTTTACTCTGACTCCTGTAGTCCTTAACACATGATCACATATTTGGTTATCTACAGTCTTGTACTGTATATAATGTGTATGTCTCATCTCGCAAGTAGACTGTAAATGTGAAGACCGTTCCTTACCCTGAGCCCAGTGGCTTAGGAGGTTACAAAGCACAGTGGGGAAAGCACTGGATTGGGCATGAGAAGAACACTGGACTAGAAGAAAAAAATTATGGGAAAAAAATCAGGAGACCTGATAGGGCCCAGAGGACCTAATCTTAGATTTATCATGTAACAGCTACATGATCTTGGTTTAGTCATAACCTCTCTCAACCTCAATTTCCTGGCCTGTAAAGTAAAAATAACATCACAGAATCATAGACTTGGAGCTCATCTAGTTTAACACCATTTTACCGATGAGGAAACAGAGGCCCATGAAGATTAAATGTCTGGCCCAAGGTCACAAAGGAAATGAGTAGAAGATTTGGAATTTGAACCCAAGTCCTCTAATTTAAAGTCCAGCACTATTATCTTTCTCACAGGTTTGTTCTATGTCTCAAATGAGACAATGGACAAGAAAGTACTATAAAACACTATTAAAAATATAGAGCGTCCTTTGTAACTTCTTTGGCACAGGACAGACATTTAGGTAGGGACTAGGTAGGCACATGAGAGAAATTTAATAAATAACTGATTAACTGAAATTTGGAATAGTAGCATAGTTATATAATGGAAAGAACTGAACTTGGGGTCAGAACACCTGAGTTTGAGTCTAGTCTTCAATACTTATATACGTGTATATGTGTGTGTATGTATAGACATATATATTTACATATATATGAATGATTGTAAGGAAATTCCTCTCTCTGAATTTCTTCATCTGTAAAATGAGGATAAAAACCCTTATACTACTTATACCTTATAGGGAAAGCACATTATAGTTTACAAAGTTTATGGCATACTTTTCAGTATTCATTTTAGGTATCCATAATATTTTTATGTGACTATTTCCTCAACCAACACAGATTACAACACTTCCATGCCATAGTAGACAATTTCTGACTGACAGTGGCTAAAAAAATTTATCACCCGGTAATGAGCTTTTCTGAATTTAGCAAAGCTAGTTCTTAAATCAATCTATCAGTGAGGTAATAATAGTCTAAGCTTTCACAGCTTGGTAGAAAGATATCAAAATTTATATTCCACTGATATAGCCTTTAAGAGCCATGGATCAGATCCATGCCCCAATAAGGTATTAGCCCCACTATTTTATCTGCTATATTAGTCATGGGGGTAGATGGGAGAGAAATGATCCTCATCTTCTAATCAAGTAACTGAAAAAAAAGTTATTTAATCATATAATATTATTTTCTTACTCATTTGTAATTATGAGTCTTAAGTGGAAGAAAGTACCATAACACACTTGCAAAAACTATTACTACAAAAGCTATGTTATTTATAAAACCATTAACACCGAGCTGCCTTTTTGGGGTAGCAAAGATTATAAAATTAGTTACAGTTCAGAAGTCCCTAATACTTTGTCTATGTTAATCACATACTATCAACAGCAAGTACTATACAAAATAAGTCTGAAAGCTCTGAGGGTATTCAAAAGGACAAAGGAAGAGGGCTGGTGTTTGTCCAGTCCACCTCCTCCACTACTTTAAGGTCACCATCTCTTGGGGGTCACAAGGCAACTTATTCATCCTTCCCTTCTGGGTCTCAATTTCCTCATTTATAGGTACTAGATGACCTCCAAGATCCCTTGTAGCTCTAAATCTATGATCATATGATCCTTAAATACTTCACTGTTAGGACACAACATTTTGGTTCCCTTGCGAAAGTGATAAAGCATCAATACTGTCAGATCCCTGGGGTCTGATTTTTTATCTACTAGCCAGAAGCCAACTTGGATACTTTCTCACTCCATCTGTATTAATTTGAAACACTATAATTCATTTCCTGTCTTCAACCCACATATGGTTGCTAAGTAACTGAGCTATTACCCTCTCAGAATAACCAGAAGGATACCCATATGTAGAGCCAGACTGTGACCTTTAAGGTACACAGATGGCTTCCAAAAAGAGCCACAGGAATGCCCAAAGGTCACAAGTTGGTATGTAATTCATACTGTAGAAGACCTTCCTTCAAATAAAGGAAATGAACAGATAATCACCATCTGATGTAATAAGCAAAAAAACAAAAAATAAAAGAATTTGAAAAAATCTGTGTACATGAGATATTTCAATGCACACCTGTGTTGACTGGATCACTGTAAGGTCATTAATATAGCAAAATCCTGCTCCCATGGCAGAACGTAGCCCAGCAGTTCCAAAAGTCATCCTGCAGCAAAGACGATCTCTTAGCTCCTTGTTCATTCCATTCCGTAACAGATTTTCAATTTGTTCTTTTGTCTTGGGATTCTATAAAAAAACACATAAAATTTAATCTGTATGAAAAAATATGAGCAGAATGATAAATTGGTAAATCCTTCTAAAGGTACTACCATGATACCTAGTTCATTGTAAATATAAAAATAGGATATTTGGACATTTTAACTGCAAAACTCATATATACATGTAAGCCAGGAATAGGTAGCACAGTGGATAAGAATGCTTAACATGGATCAGGAAAATCTGAGTTCAAATCCCACCTCAGAAGCTATGTGACCCTGGGCAAGTCACTTAACCTCTCTCAGCCTCAGTTATGTTATCTGTAAAATGGGGATGATGATAGCACCTAGCACAGGGCTATTGTGAGGACCCAATATGATAGCGCACACTCACGTAAAATACTTTGCAAACCTTAGAGTGCCACGTGAATGCCATTACTATGATGATGATGATGATGATGATGATGATACCACCTCTAATTTAATTGATATAGCGACCTCCCAATACAGGTCAACAGCACCTCCTTAACAATTTATAGTCTTAAAGCCTTGAGCACTGAGATGTTACATAACTTAGAATCACACAGCTATGATGTATCAGATGCAGGACATAAATGAAATGGAAGATTATCATGTAGTAAGAAATGGCTAATATGAATACTTTCTCTTTGTAACTCTAGGGCTTAGTATGGTGCAGATAAGCTCTTAATAAATGCATATCCACAACACAATGCCTACACTCTGACCATCATCCTTTTCTCCTCCAAAATCATAACTCTGCTCCTTGGTCCCTTGGTTCAGATAGGGGAGCTTTCCTCTTATTTTGCTTGGAACCAGGACTCCAAGACACTTCCTGGCACCCCCAATCTCTTTCCAGATACCCTTTAAGGGCTATCCTCACTCATCAGAATGTAGGATTTTTGAGGCCGGGGGCTAGCTTACTTACTTGTACTTGTATCACCAGCCCAAACCAGTGCCTGACACACAGTAAGTCTTTAAATATACTTTATATTGTTGATAGTCATCAACAATAATGAACACAAGGGAGTGCATAATATGGCAGGGGGAGGGCAATGACTTATGTAAAAAACAAAAGCACATCAATAAAATATTTAGAAAACCTAAGTCCTTAGAAAAATTAAAAACACAATGGGTACCAATTATTGATTATATAAAGTCCTAAACCTCTACAGCTCAAAGTGACCAGAATTTCACCATCAAACCACTCAATTCATCTTACTATGACAAAAGTTGAATCCTCTTATAAGATTTTGTGTATGAACTTGAGGTAAGATCAAGGAAGCGGTCAAGATATATAGCTGTGAATCAGGCCTTACCTACTTTTATATTTTAGGAAAAACTGAATAATTATTAGCAAATAGTAAATTTTAAGGGAAGTCGATGCTTCAGAGTTAGTGCTACACAAAGTAAAGTGATCTAGTAGGTTACCGTGAAAAAGTGTAAATTACCTTTGGAAGTATTGTCATTTTTATTATATTGGCACAGCCTAGCCATGTGCACTGAATATTCCTTCAGCTATTTAAATTGTTCTTTATTTCTTTAAGGGGCACTTTGTGATTATAGCTATCCAAGTATTTTGTGTGCTTTGGTAGGTAGATATTCAAGTATTTTACACATTGTGTAGTTATTTGAAATGGGATCTACCTTTCTATTACTGCCTCTTAGATTGTTATTATTATACAGAAATGCTATTGATTTTTGAGCATTTACTTTGTAGCTTACAACTTTACTGAAAATATTGTTTCAATTAGTATCCTTATTGACTTTTCCTAGGACTTTCTAAGTAAACAGTCACGTTATCAGCAAAATTGGGATAGTTTTATCACCTCTCTACTCATCCTTGCTTTACTCTGGTACTTACTGAGAAAGCTTCTAGCATATCCCCAGTACATATAATTCTTATTTTTTTGTTTAAGACAGATATATCCCTCTACGCCTATGCTTTGTAGGGTTTTTAGCACAAATGAGTAGTGTATTTTATCAAAGGCTTTTTCTGCATCCATTGAGATAATCATGCGGTTTTGGATGTTTTTTATTTTTAATATGATTCATTATATTGACTGTCTTCCTACTGTTTAGACAACTTTGCCATCTCCCTGTTATAAATCCATTTTGGTCATAATGAATTCCTTGGATGAATTGCTATAGTCTGTTTGACAGAATTTTACTTTAAAAAAATTTGATTAATATTAGTGAAAATCAATTCTCCTTTTGTGCTTTATCCTTATCTGGTTGAGGCATTAGGTATGTTCTTGGTATGTTATAATGTTTGTATTTATTGGTAATTAAGTCCCTAATCAAAAAGAAAAAATTAAAAGTGATGCTGTAAGGGAGATTTATGTTTTGGGTGAGAAACTGAACTAAATGACCTCTAAATTTCTTTCCAATGGTAAGGTTCTAAATTTGTTTAATGTCATATCATAACTAGCACAGAACCAAGAACTCACATTTTTTAAAAATGTTTTTTTAAACCATGCTAATGTCAAGAAGAATAACCTGATTCTGTCCCCTGCCCTCTCCCATCATGACAGCCAGGAATATTCATGGCATATGGCTTGAATTTTATGCTTATAATACTTGTGGATACATTTGTCCTTTGCAATTTGACAGCTGATTATAGTTGTCTTAGATACGAAGGGGCAAGATACAATTCCTTACTGTTTGGTAAGATGATTTTTTAATGGAATTAATTTTCATATTGTCTTGAAATACTGATTTAAATAGTCAAGCAAACGTTTATTAAGTATTTTCTATGTGCTATATGCTGGGCTGGGCCCTAGGGAAGATAAAAGGATAAATACAAGGATTTTACAGATTGATAAAACATATATGTGTATGTGTATATGTGTTTGTGTGTGTAATACAATAATACACATTAGAATGAGAAGTCTACAATCTGAATTCAAAAGACTATAAGCTGCTTGAGGGCAAGGACAGGTTCTTTTTTTTTTTCTTTGCACATAGTAGGTGCTTAGTAAATTCACATTCCTACCTGATTGATGAGAGAAAGAGTTCACATCCAGTTACAGGTTGGGGAAATAAAGGAAGGAGTCAAGGAAGGTTTCATTTGAACCATCAGCAGCCAGAGATAGAAAGAGAGGGTAATTTAGATATAGGGAATAGCATGAACAAAAGCATTAAAAGGTAGAAAAGCACAGGATATGTTCAAGGGGCTGTAAGTAGTCTCAATTTATTTGGATCTTGAAAATGTGCAGAAAGGGGAATGATATGAAAAGGTTGGAAGGGTAGGTTGAGGCCAGTCTACAGAAGGCTCTGAATGTTAATCTAAGTGATTCAGACTTTATGTTGCAAGCAAAGGAGGAGCCACTGAAGGTTTATGACATGTGGAATGATGTGATCAGAACTATGTCTTAGGAAAATTAATCTGGTTGCAAAGTATTAAGTGGAACAGAGAAGGGAAAGATTAGAAGCAGAGATCAGACAGAAGATTATGATAGTCCAGGGTAAAGTTAATGAGGGCCTGAATTACCACAAGGTCAATATGAAAGGTAAAGAGGGAACAGATTAGAGAGAGACTGTTAATTTTACTTTTGCATGGCCATGACAGAAGTCACTAACTAAATATATACAAAAAGGAGAAGTTCAGAGGTTACCAAGCATGAGTTACTAGTTGAATGGTGATACCATTGGTGAAAAACAAGTTTAGGAGAAAAATAACATTAGTTCAGTTTCAGACATTCTATACATTTAGCCTATTTTCCCTCCCCATTTCCTTTCTTTTTTCAGTAGATTTATTGCTCAGGCTAGATTTTTCAAGAGGTCTAAGGGGTAGGATTTTCCTGGACAAGTGATCCAACAAAACAACATGTTTTTCCCAGGAGATAAAACTCCATCAAACAGCAAGCAATGCCAGCTCTCTTCCCCACCCCAACCCCTTCCCAGTTCAAACCTAGACAAACTGTCCCATATTTACTCTTGAGGCTCTGGGATTCCCAAGGCTAGAAGAAAAGAAACAAGTTGGATACCTAAAACAGGCAAGGTTTATAGTGATCAAAAGGGAATCCTTCTAGGGAGTATTCTTCAGAGATTACTCCCAAAGAGTCTATTCTGACCCACGCACGTCCTGAATAGATTTATACTGAAGAATTTTAAAGTATATTACATATTAATGTGCCTGGCAACCTATCACCAAAAATGGCTTTTTTTTTTAAAGGAATCTCTTAGCCAGACACATTCTATCTTTGCTGATTGCGTCAGATGAGTGCATGCCATAGAGAACTCTTGTCACATGGACTAACATTTATACCTTGTAATTTGTGGTGACATAATAATGTTAACACATTTTTTGGAAGAAATATGTATGGTCTGTACCCTTTTTTAAATTAAAATTCTTTTGTGAAGCTCAAGCTTCACATTTTCTAAGTCACAAAAGTTGAGTTTTGAGATTTAAGATGGACATTTCAGATGTCTTTTCCCTTAGGGAAAGAATGCTAATCTGATGGTTTTAACATGTCTTAGTAGACTATTTACAGAATCAGAAAATGAGAAGGGAACTTAGAGTCCATCTAGTACAACTAGTACCTGAATAAGAATTCCTTCTAAATCACCCTTAACAAGTGATTATCTAACTTGAAGACAAAGAGGTTAAATGACCTTGCTTTGGGTCATACATTTAGTAAATGTCTGAGTCAGAATTTGAATTCAAGTCTTCCTAAGTCCAAGTCCAGCATCCAGGAGTGGGGAACCTGTGGCCTCGAGACCACGTGGCCTTCTAAGTTCTTGGGTTTTGATTGAGTCCAAGTTTTACAGAACAAATCCTTTTATTAAGGGGATTTGTTCTATGAAGTTTGGATTCAGTCAAAGGGTTGCGCTTAGGACCTTGAGGGCCACATGTGGACTTAAGGGTGCAAGTTCCCCACCTGGGTAGATATACAATGTAGCTATCTCAAAAAGAAACTAGAGAAAAACTTATTGGGGATTTATAAGGAGCTTTATGCCTCAAGTAAGGGTTGAGATAAAGTATTCCAATGTGAAGATTTTATGACTTTC